TTATACGTCCCACTGCGGGCTCAGGTTACCTCTCAGATGAGGGTTTAGACCATTGTCCGCCATGTTGGCCCACTGCGGCGGGTTGAAGACTTCACACGTTTTCCGAGGATTGTGAACCTTCTACGACGTGCAGGTTTCTCCATGATGTTTTCCTTCAACGAAAAGCCCATGGCAACTTTCAAATTAAATTTTGCACACAAACTCCGAGAATTTGAGAGGTGCGAGCCCGGATTCGAACATATGGCCTCTGCTTGAAAGGCGGTAGGTCAAACCATTAGGTTAACGGCTTAAACGCGATTTATATCTTACATTGATGAGCGTGGCAGCACTATCAAGTAATTTATATAAGTATAAAGCAGCTTGACATTTTACATAATTTCCTAAATACAAAACATTAATTTGTCTTCCTAAGTATCAAGGCACGACACCGGATATTACAGATCTTGAGTAAAAACACTTAAATGGAAAAGTTAAAAGATCCATCAAGCTATTGAACGATCTGTTTTAAGTTAACAAGAATTAGTTAGTGATTGATGGTTGCGGTAAGACAAGATGATTATTGCTAAGTTGCTTTGATGAGATAAAACATTAAAGATGGATTCAAAAGTTTAGGGTGCTTTGCAAAAAGGCATTTAAGAATGTTGTATAAAAAAATGAGAATGGAATGAAATACAACAGGTAATTAATTGGTGTTTTTAAGTATCCGGTGGTATTAGGCCGCCTTCAAATTAGACGCTTGTAAAGGCGCTGCAATGGCGCTACTGTGGCGCACGATATATATGTATATAACACCACTTTTTTCAAAAGATAATAAATTCATCAGCAACAATCAAGTTTTTGTTGTACTATTTGATACTTTCTAGATCTATATTTGGCAGTAAGTCCAAACGTGCTCCTGCGTTTTGCATCGAACTGGTATTTACGATAGCGCTTCTTATGTTACCACACAAACATCACAAGTTTAAAGCGATCTATGATATATATTTATTTTTGTACGAAAGTAACGTCTTATGAATTATAAAACGTCAAAGAACAAGACTTCCCAAGCAGCACACCCATATATCTAAAATATATACTATAAGATATCCAATAGAATTTAATTCGATTGAATATTTTAAGAGTTCAAATTCCTTCAAGATATCTCGAAGAAGGTTTCTAGATAATTTAAAGTAAAAGTGGGCACAACTTTATTAGTAGATCACAAGAGTGCTTTGAGAAACTATCTGTAGGTAGTGTTAAGAGTGATTCTTATCTTTTTTCTGCAGTAACCCTTCTAGAATGCTACAAGACCATATGTAGAATGTAGACAGTTTTTATTTAGTCTTGTAGATAGTTTTTAGATGATTTATAGTCTATGATAGTTTTCTTAGTAATGCTATTTTAAAACCAAAATACTAAAGCGTTACAAACATAGGACGCAATTCTCTTAATACTAATAGATTTCAAGTTTAATGACTTACAAAATATAAACTATCAAAATTGCAACATGGCGAAATTAGATATAATATTTCTGACTTTTTCGCGCAATGTTTAATCGGTTAGAAAGCGCAAATTGACGTGCGACTTTAAATACATTGTGAAAAGTGATGTAAAACGTGATGTGATGTAATGTGATTTATAAGGTTATACGAAAAAATGAGTTTATGCAATAAAAAACTTTTCAAAACACTAGGTCAAAAAAGATTGGAAAAAATCGAATTTGTCGCAAAAAAAACGTTATTCTGTATAATTATATGGAATGTGCTATAATATGACTCGAAAGGTGGATAAATTTCGTATCATTTAAATATATATGAATATTTTAATGACATACCTAACTTATGATGGAAGAAATAAAATTTTCATTACAAAATTGAGGTTATTTTTTCACGCCAACCACATTTCACACAATGATTTCACTGTATTCTAGACTGTACAATACACATACACAACATTGAAGTACTTACAGTAGTTTTCGGTTTCAATTTCGATTTCAATTGTTTTTATCATTTCACAACACGGAATTACTTCACAATGTTTATTTATTTGTCATCAAACTACTAGACTATTGTATCCAGCGTTGCCAATTTGTAGGTGATTCCCCAAATTGTGGGGAGTTTCAACTAGATAGGGGATTTTGTGGGGATTGGCGCTATGTGAGGAAAATGTGGGGATTCTAACATTTTATCATTTTGTTTAATTTATCAATTGCTGATGCATCGCTAGTTTGATCGTTACTGTTAGAAACACTGTGATGGACTATATCGATGTGTTATTCAACATCGCACATCCTTCGTATTATTAACAAGCAGCTTAAATAGAATTATTATTAGAGCACTTGGTTCTGAATTGTAAAATTACCAGTCGGTGCATGTTGAGTTCGCGATTCTGTCTCCCGCTTAGGACGGTCCCCGGTATGAAGCAAAACGAAATCAGTTATTGATAAACAAAGCCGAGCAGTTAGTACCTCCACCACTCGTACAATTTTAAATATTAAATATAGGTCGAAACTCATTGATTATTTCTAACGTTAACATAGTGTCACCAAACGCACAACAAATAATCAATTTACTTAATTTTATAAGGTAAAAAAAATGATTTTTTGTTCAGACTGTTTACAGATTAATGTCGAATATAATTAATATAACTGCCTCCGTGGCCAAACGGTTACCATGCCGGACTGCCATGCAGAGGTCCCAGGTTCAATTCCCGGGTCGAGAGAAATATTTGTATGGCCTACATTTATTTCTCTCGTGAGTTTGGATGTAATTTGTGGTTATCTACGTGTGTGTCCATGGCACCCGTGCCACAGGGTTTCCCTAGTGCGGGGCTATGTTGAGTGTGTACGTTATTATTATTATTATTATATACCTAGTGATTTTTGGGGATTTTGAACAATTGGCATTGGCAAATCAGCGTTGCCAATGCCAACGAATCGAATGATGTGACTTAATATACAAGGTTTACCACCTCCACCAGATCTTTTAATATTCTTTACTTTATCCATTTTGCATGAACTCTTACAACGTCCAATAGAATAAAAACCCTAATTGTAGTATTTTTTTAAATAAATTCTTTTGTCAATAAGTACAATAAGTACAAACACTACAGAATGTCTGTAAATTTAATATATCTAGAATAAACTTAAGAACACTAGTTTTTAGAGTATTAATAGGCTTTACTGGATGTGTATAGAACAATTTTACTAAAAATAATCAGTTGTTCTACAGATGAATTTAAAATAGGGACTATAAAAGTAAATATTAAGAGAGATTACACTTAATTAAGATGTTTGGTATTAAGGTGTTAAAATTTTGACTTGAGTGAAATAAGTCTATAAGAACAATTTCTTTTTTCTAAAACCATTTATAGCGAACTGTTATCTAAACCTATACCATGTTAAGACTGTTTATAGGTATAACAGTTTTAAGGCTTATAAAGTGTTATCCTTGGGTTGTTGATTATGATGTTGGTAATAATACTCTCCTACAATGTTGTTAGTATTTACAAATAACTCTGTACATCAAATACATCTATGATTTAAATGATTATTTCAACTTTTAGCGATTTTGAAACCAATCAACGTTAACTGAATGCAATAAAGTCTTTATTTTACAACTGTACACTTTTCAGAGAGATTTCAATTTTAATCAAACCTAAGTAACCTTCTAAATTCATACGTAAATTATATATTACACCTATGTGTTTTTGCATCAAACAATTCACTCAAAGTAACCGTTAATTTAATAAACGTATTAATCAAACATTCCGTTAACTATGTGCCATCTGGCGTACTCGGCTGTAACCTTTACGACTTTCCGACTTCATTTACTGCCAAAATCTCCTTTACGACCTCTTTATGTTTTAAATTGAATATTTAATCGTTATGAAATGTAGGTACATTATTGGAGCTTATATGTAATACTAGCTACGGATAGAAAGTTACTGTCACTGTACATGACATGAATGTCGATTGTAGATCTCTCCGCCCCGAAGCCGTACTGAGCCTCCGATAAACCCGGTTTCACTTCCTCTAGTTGCCGGACGCCACGGTTTACGAGAACTCTCTCGAAGAGCTTAGCCGTCTCGTCCAGTAGAACAATGGGCCTTCTACAGCAGGCGCAATCGGCCCTGGTTCCACTGTGTCGGAAACTGTCCACTGCGTAGGCATGTGTCGAAGCCACTCGTCCAGGCATTCCGCAGTCAGGTGCAATACCCGACCCGGGATGCCGGGAGGAACAGAGCCGCCTCCATTTCTCCCTCGGTTACGGGGGGACCGGCGGGAGAGCTTCTTCCGGTGAGGAGGGTGGCGCCATCACCAGAGGTAATGACCTGGATTGTCTGGGAACAATTCTCTTACTACCCTTTCGAGGAGATCAGGAGCCATGGTTTCCGTGACGGGGGCGCGTTGGGCATAAAGTTTCCTCCGCGCCGCACGATATGGGCGACCCCACGGATGTCGTTCTAACCCGGCCAAGATTTATTTCCTAGCACGGCTTTTATCCTGATTTATTGCCAACTGCAAGGACTTCTTCTTCAGCTTGTAGATCTCCCGCAGCTGGCTCTCTACGCCCGGGGCGTAATTTCTTTTTTCTAACTTTACGAGAACTAACGTAGTCAACATTTTTTTGTATAATTATTCTAGCGAGGTACCAACAAGGCTTTCCACGCTAGTTATTTAACTGCTTTGCTTCTGCACTAAATAATGCATCCAAAAGATTCTATGGTATGCCATAATAAGTTGCTGAACTTATGTGTAATTAGTAATATATGGACATATTATGTAGAACAACGTCTGAAGTAAGTAATTAAAAAACTTATTTGTTTAAAACATTTATTCAAACTTTATTCTATGACAATCATAGACGAATCATGCTTTACAAAGCTTATTGAACTAATAAAACAATTGACAGTTAAAATCATATACGACTTGAAAAAATTACATAATTTTAGTACGTTATTTTGAATATATAATCTTAATTAAAGAAGAAACAAATTGGAAATAATGAAACATTACGGTTTACTTTAATGTTAACACATTTTAAAAATTAATAAGACAACTAAATTAAATACTTTACAATTTGGTCTGAAAATTGTTAGATTTGAGTAAAATAGAGATTTATAAAATTACATTTTATTTTCACAAATTTGATCGTTCCTATTATATTATTACGCATCTTACTTATTAGAAATTGAGACGCTTAAGGCACAGCGAAATTACAACTAACTATCATTTACATTTTATTTTATAGACACTCTTGGTAACAATGTTTAATACTATCTTGCAAGTTGTGATATGTACAAAAATATTTCTCCATTTATCCTAACTATCTTTATAACAGCAAAGAAAGTAACAGTGAAATGGAATATCAACACTCTAAGAATATTGTAAACGAGACGGAAATAAATGCAATTATTGTGATACAAATTTAGTACATTAGAGCACCTCAGAATAAGTAGAATAAATAATGGCATGCCCAAATAACACAGCTAAAGAAAAGAAAATTTCTAATTTAACAAGCATATTACAGAAACCATAAAACCTAAATTAACAACGATACATGGAACGATTGTCGATTATACTTCAACCGCAAACTGTTTAAAACACGTATTGGCACAATGTCACTAATGTTTAGTCTTAAAACGAAATACCGGTTCCACTTCTAGAACCGATACTCCTCAAATCAGGCACGAGTGTTTTCTCTCCTCTGTTTCTCTAGCTGTTTTCTGTGACTGTGTCGTTTTCTTGCAATTATTCCTATAAGTACCGCAACGACAGTTACAGCGACAGCTATACCTATCCACCAATACGTGTTGTACGAAGCCTCTTTGGGAGGGGTTTCTTGTTGGCCCCCAGGCGGATTTTTTATTTCCATAACTGCTACAGTTGATGTTTCTGCACCAAATCGTGGATTCTCATAATTTTCAATCATATTTTGAAGTATATCTTCGTGTGTATCTTCAACCACGGGTGCGTCTTGCTCGTTTTGAGGTGTCGGAATCTCATTTAAAACATCAGCGTCCAAAGCCTCCACATAGTCATCGATGGCGTTAGAATCAGGCATTGGGTCTAATTGATTGTCTAAGTACTCATCAAGCAATCTGTAATAGTCTGTGATCCCCGTATATTCTAAACCATTTTCTCGTTTTGCTAGCAGATCACTCACTAATTCTGGCCAGATTACACCGAAGCCTTGCATCATTGCATCTCTGTAAATAAAACAATAATAAGTACAACTATAATAGTACAGTACCGATAAACTCTAGTTGAACCTCAAAACAATAAATACAGGTTCTTTGCAACCGTTACACGTGAAGTCCTGCATACTTGAGCTCAGTCCACCATTTTTTGTTTGTAGGCTATGTTCGTGTCAATTGTCTCGCGCAGAAAGTTGAAAATCGTGGAAAAATGCCATATTTTGCTACTTAGGAGTGCATTAATAATAGTCGCACCTGTAATAATATTATCCATGGTGCTGTTTCATATTATAGTCAATTCTAACTTTGTATTCTTTTAATACATTATCCATTTTCTGTTTATCGTAACAGATTTTTTGTTATATGAAACGAAAGTAAATCTTACATCCTTGCAATAAGGTGGACTTTTTTTTTGAGAATGTTAATAGACTTTAAACGTTCGTCTTTCAGTTATCGCCACTAGATGGCAGCACGTAGAATTACATTTCAATTATAAAATCAAAACGTCGTAATTTACAATAACAGATATTGAACTTCCAACTATATGCCAACTGGGTAAAGTTCAAATTATAATAACAATCCAGAATTTGTTATATCTTTTTAAATTAGAAACTATGACCAATCAATATCAAGGTTTTATTAGTGTTAAACATTATGTAAGTGTGAGTTTTGGCGCCAGCGGTTCTAATAATAACCGAGGCTTAATTACGTTTCATTGTTTTTTCCTTCCGTGAGTTAAACACAATGCAAAATTAAATACTTACGTTACTCGGACGCTGTTTTCAGCAACTTGTTTTATTAAATCAGATTCGTCAGATGGCAGCTCTTCGGCAAATGATTGGTAAATTTGGTACTTCAGGATCAAACCCAAAAATTTTCTGCAACAAAATATTTCCTTGGACATTCGTTCACGGCAAAATTATTTCATAAAACTTGTCAAAGTTGTGTACAAAATCTATAACTTACCCAATATAAGGTTTATTGAAAACAATATAAGGATCTCCAAGCATGTCCACGTTAGAAGTTTCGATTAGGGAAAAGTTTTTACGGAATTCGCTCCAGCTGGTTGATATTTTGGCATTCGGGATAGTACCCATTACAACTTTCAATCTCCATTCGTCTGCAGCTAAGTAATAGTTTAATCTGAAAGGATATCAATACTAATGAGGACACGGAATAAAATTTTAAAATTTGCTATTGAAAATCAAGTAAATTGTTACTAATCAAGACAGCTACTTTTACGAGAGTAAATTCTGTTGTACTTTGTAATAAAACGAAGCATTGTATATTCCACCTAAACTACACGTTTACAGTAAATTGAATGAGTAAATCAGAGGAATTTAGGCACACAATCAAACTTACTTAGGTAAGTCTCTCAATGCCATAATCAGCTGCAAGACTAATCGATGATGATTAGGATTAAAATTGAATCTCGTTAATGGATACAATCCAGCTCGATTCAAAGCATGAGGGTTTATTGCAAGAAGAGATGCAAATCCAGGAATGGCTTCGTAGACAGCTGAAAAAAACAAAATAATAAATAACAACCATTATCGTATAGTTCCAGTCATTTGGAAGGAAATATATGAGTTTTTTTTTTGTTCAAATAATATCGGTTTCTGAGTTCTTTGGTGCAATCTTTCAATAAACCACTCAGAAAAATAAAATAAATCTGATTTTCATTTAACCCTTTTAAAGTATTTCTTACAGAACGAACAACTCCATTTATATTATATCAGCAAAACGAAATCTTATGGAATTGTACGTTTCTACATTATGTAGGCTTTCACTAGAAAAAACACATATTGCAATACCTATAAAAATAAATTTACTAATTTACTAGAAAAATATTCCCAGTAATCTTACCTGAGTATCGAGGCGCCTCTCTTAAGATGTAAGTATTATTACTATGTAAAGCGGAGGTTTCTTTGTATTTAATCTTCATTGCAGCTTCATGAGCGTCTAAATAATTTGCTATGCTGACATCTTTGCATGAAACCACTCTGACTTTATTGGGTTTACACCAGTCTACTAAAACGGGTGGGCAACTCCCATTGAAAGACGATTCCGACCAGGTATCTAGTTCAATGCCACCTAGATTTAGTTCTTGAATGAGTTTGTTTGCTGCTTGAAAGGCGTTTAAACCACCTAGTTCCTGAAAAACGAATATAAAAAGTAATATTTAGCTTAGATATAAGTGACAGTAATACTTCAAAAGAGTCATAGACGTTTTAAAAACCATGCACAAATGTATTTGTAAGTACTAAGTATTTGAAGAACAAATGCTGTAAACATCGGATGAAATACTTTAACTAATACATGAAATGGCTGTAGCGAAAGAATGTTTCGTATAGATTTTGCTTCTACATTGAATAGGTATACATAAATAATTTGTATAATAATAATTATGATACATAATAAGGAAATGAAACAATATTTCGTGTCAAAAATGCGTATATTTGTTTCGTTTTGAATGTTTTGTTAGAAAAAAAGAAATATACGCTAGTTGATTCTGAAAAATAGTTTCATTTCCTATGTATAACAATCGTGAAAACCTAAGCTCGAAATATATTTACATATTACATACTTTGACGATTTTCGTTTCATAGTGGTTAGTACTATAGTCACTAGATAAATCGGTGTCGATTCTCGGAAGGACCAATGTGGGAAATCCAACTTTTCTGAATTAAGTCTAGCATGGGTATTCAATTAATACCCTAGGAGTTCCTATCCTTTCTTTGGTACTGTAGCAGGCTGGTTTAATTGTATCGTATTTAGTAAAGTCGAAATAATAAGGTGGGTTTTTATTCAGAATTGTAAGTATAAAAAATAGAAGGTTGTGGTCAAATGAACATCGACAGAATTCTGGACAAATCTTTAAACCGAACGCTCACAGTAAACATAACCACAACGTGCACACTCAACATAGCCCTGCACTAGGGAAACCCTGTGTCGCGGGTGCCATGGACACACGCATAGACAATCACAAATTACTTCCAAATTCACGAGAGAAATAAATGTAGGCCATACAAATATTTCTCTCGGTCTCAGGTTCGATTCCCGAATCGAACCTGAGACCTCTGCGTGGCAGTCCAGCATGGTAACCGTTCGGCCACGGAGGAAGTTTTACAGTAAATCTTTAATTATGAATATATTCCTCGTTTCTTATTAAATAGTACCTATCTCTACGCTAAAACCACGGCTACGCTCCCACAAGTGGTGGAGGTGCCGGGGAAACTATCATAAAGATAGTCCAGTGAGTATTTGATGGATGATCAAGCCTGAGGTGTCGTCTTAGCAGCATGTACAATGGAGTCTGTTATTTGGAAATATTGTTATTGAAATGTTTATAATGAGAAGTATGAATATTTATTAAATAAAGATTTTGCTTGACTTTATGTTAGATAGGGTTATAGCTCGAATAAATAACTAGGGTTTTAGCTTGAAGAAATAGCTAGAGCTTAGCTTGAATAATAACTGGCGATGATAGATAAATAGTTAGGATGATTAATAAGAAAATATATAATTGAGTTGTTTGCTTAGGGCGTGATCATAGTCTGTCCTTTTTGATAGGTTTTTGGCAGATTAAAGCCATAGGCTCCTTGGTAGTTTTGTTCTTTGGTGGTGTAATGGCTTCCAAGCAGTGTGTGGCTAATCTACAGTAAAGGCTGATCACATATGTAAGTTTGCCTATCATAGATAGGCACTATGTTAGTGAGAACCCCCCTTCAATTGTGTGGAGGAGGGACGTAGCAAGCTGGTTTGAATATATTCTATTTAGAACGTCTAAATAATAAGGTGGGTTTATATTTAGAATTGTGTAAAAAATAGAAAGTTGTTGTCAAATGAACACCGAGAGAGTTCTGAATAAATCTTCAAACCGAACGCTCTTAATCTAACCGAATCTAAAGATTTACTGTGAGCGTACGTTGAGCGTTTAATTATGAATACATTCCTGGTTTCTTATTAAACTCCTCTCACTACGCTAAAACCTCGGCTACGCTCCCACAGTACTCATAGTACAGGGATTTCCTAGCTTGAGTCAAATCGGCTTAAGGCGGTCAAAAAAAGTTTAAAAAACAATAAAACATTGTCGACGACGGACACGGACGACGCGAATCGACATAGGTGAAACGCACGATATTCTTTTCGATCTTATTGCATGGACATAAGGCTGTTTCTTACTGGCGCGAGTCGATTCGACATCAAAAAGTGTGGTAATCCCCTAATATTGCCTTTGTGGGAATACGAGTTTTATTCTACACATAAATTTATGTAACATTATAATACCTTTAGCTGCAAATTCGCATGGATCTTCTGATATACGTCTGGGTGTTTCGGTAACAGGTTCTCTATCAAATGCGTCCACTCATCTCCAATCAGCGATCCTGCAAACATAGGTAGGTAAAATTTATTGTAGTGAGATAGAATATTAAAAATTAGTTTTACAGAATCACGTTCGTTTCCAACTTTCAATATGAAGTGGCTAACGGTAGTGAATGCATCAAAAATCATAATCAAATAGCCAACGTTAAGTATTATCATCGTTGCGTACAAAAAACAGTGAAAATAAACATTTGTAATTGTGAATGCTGTTTACAATGAACTGAGTTTGCGAAGTTTCTATGTGTAAAAGAAACATTATTTTCCACTTCTTGCAAAAACTACCTAGCTAGCTGCACAGTAAAAATTGAAGAATCATACTCAACGGGAAGTAACAATATAACCGAGGTAGTTATCCCTAGGGTATCGCTCCAAATATTTCACGTCTTGGCAAATAGCCTTACGCTTCGAGGTTGAGGCGGTAAATTATGTACTTGTATAATAAAATGTCTCTTTTTGATGCCGTTTCCTTGCGGGGTTAAATTAATCTTAAATTCAGTGGGTTTTTAAAGTTGTGTCGAGATATTGTAAATCTTTAGTCAGCGGACGGACTGCTTTTGATACGGATGAACTTTTGTTAATTTTTTATCACTAATATGTTAGTATATAGCCGTGGTAGCTTAATGATTTGACCTCTCAAGCAGAGGCTGTGGGTTCGAGTCTAGAGTCGCGCAGCTGAGTTTCTCGGAATCGGAAAAGTAACTTGCACGTCGAAAAAGGTTCACAACCCTCGAAAAACAAGGTAAAATCCCCAACCCGCATTGGACCAACATGGCGGACTATGGCCTATACCATTGGTTCCCAAACTTTTTGGTTTAGCGCCCACCACCACAAAAAATAATTGAAAACACGTATTTTTTATATTAACTTAACACAAAAAATCAGAAGGAAAAAAATTATGTAGTGTAGCTTATATAGATAATTCAGGTTTCTTTTTAATGCAGTTGTACGCCCTGGACAGCATCAACGCCCCTAATTGCTTCCGAGGCCCCTAACGCCCCCTAGAAGTCAGCGCCCACCGGGTAGGGACCACTTTGGGAAACTATGGCCTAAACCCTCGCCTGAGATGGGACTCATACCCAGCAGTAGGATATATAAATGGGTTGATGATGATGATGCATATATGAATAACTTTTCATATTTAATAATAAATCTTTAATTAAAATTTCAAAACTGAATGCTTGACGCTAAACAGTGTATTTAAAAAAGTTAATGAAGTAACCACAACAAGTAAACAACTCGTCACTGTAAGTAATTGAGAAATTTGGTAGCCTACTGATTATCCTGGTTGCATTACCAGACCAAGGTTAACCATATTGATGAAATGTCATCGGCTTTCCATTAGACATCGAATTTCAAATCAGTGAAGCAATCTCTGCAATATCAGGAAAAAGCTGATGACCTTTAACTGTCTAAACAACCTCAAATGGCTTTGGTTGATTCCGCATAACAATGAAAGTGTTGAATTAATCACTTTGAAAAAAAAAGTAAAATTGAGTATAAACACTGATTACTGCACGGTATGAAAACGTGACTCCTAACAAAAAAATATAGACCTATACAAATTACAAGAAAACGGATGCATTCAGTAGGTACTTTACATATACCAAGCATTGTTTTTATATCAACTAAACTAAATAGAACACGTATACTGTACAATATAAATTTTTCAAATGGCTTTAATTCCGTTTCTGTAAAAAATCTGAAATAAAGCAAAATGAACCCTATTTGACTCGTGGTATGAATAAGGGAAAAACTTGAATTCAAGCTGAGGTAGTATCTTCAACAGCTGAACAGATTTTCAAGAAACATTGCTAAAAACCATCCCGATTAAATCAGCCTTAATATAAAAAAAATCACTTCAATTCCATCCATTTGGGAGCTACGAAGCCACAGACAAACACAGATGCAGAGACAAAGGCTTCGATTTAAAAGAAATATATTTTTGATCGGGGATTAATCAAGAAACTCACTCGTTAAATGCGCTGGCAATGGTTTCCCAACAGCATCGGCTCCCATCAATCTTAGAACAACGTACTTCTGTAGTTTCACATACAACGGTTTGATATTATCCCACAGTTCTCTTGCTTTTAGTAAAGCGCCCTCGTATTCGACTAACGCATCCCAATATTCTTCAACTGATCGGAAATCTGAAACAAAAGATATTAAATGTAGTATCATTGCAGTAGCAGTAGAGTGTGAAAGAGTTCATCAGGGAAGTACTGCCACCATATCTATCACGGCCACAGAAATCTATCTATACTGTGAGCATTACTGCATTCCGATTTTGAAGGGTAATGATGCCAGTGAAGCTACAGGAATATAGGACTCGTGAACATTATGTGTCAGGAAGATGGGTGCGCTGGCAGTGATCCTCAGATCTTTGTTATTTATATTTCTGTCAAGATGTTAGTGCAAGTTCTATGGGTAGGTATTTCTCTTGCCACCTATCTATCACAACAAAACCAAAATACACAAACTTCATGTGTGCATGCTATACTAGAAATCAAAGCTTTTGTGAATGAATAGTTACAACATTGTCCGGAAAAGGCAGAGGCAAATAATAATAATCAACTTGAGTTTTCAAACATTTAGATACCCAATGATGTGTCATAAAGACATATCAAGTAAATGAACCGCGAATATATTAATACTAAATCGAAAATTTGTTCGCTAACGTAACGGGTTATTACAGTTTTCAGCACAGACAATAACATTTTACATGAAGACATTTGTTAATGCAAAAATATAACTTTAGTAAAAATCATAAATTGGAGCGTTTAAAATTATAATTACGTTACATCGTCCGTCCGTTCCTCGTCCATGGAATTTAAATTGCAGAAGCAGTTCCAATTTTCTTCTTGCAAATTAATTCTTATTACACTACTTTGATGCATTTTCTTGCATTAAGTAAAATACACTTCTACTAAATAGAGGATATTAATAATACAATACTTTTTGATATGTTAGTGATTGATCGTTGACACTAGGTATCCTCTGTTAGAGGATAGCTACTGTTGCTACCGTAGCGAGTGAGCATGAATCGTATTTTTAACAGACTTAAAAAAAGGAAGAGGTTTTCAATTACTGTTTTTTTATGTACGTTACGTGATACTCGTGATTATTTGTGAACCGATTTTCATGATTTTTTTTTTTGTTGGAAAGAGGGTGTCTCAGTATTGGTCCCATTTAATTTGAAGAAAATAGTCAACCAGTAAGGGTGTGAAATTGGGTAATGAAATCGGCTGCGAGCACTTTCCGTTAACCAATTTCAGTAAAACTTGGCAAATAGTTGTAATTCCACGCACTTTTGAGGTGGGTTTTTTTAATAACAAAGTTGTAATTATTATAACATAATGTCTTACGGTGTTTATTTCAACGAATATCACGATACCTAACATGACATTCATATATGTTTATGTGTTAAGTTTGCCATTGTAACTAGGTACAATGTTCGAACAAACAAAGAAAATATCCTTCGAATTCTGGTAGCTGTAAAGGTAACTTGCCTGAGCGAAGAAACTAAGTTTCTCACAAGTGGCGCTACGGCAAAAAAAGCAGTTTAAATCCAATACTAAGATCTGCAACAGGCACATACAGAAATTTGTAAGGTCTGCTGACTCGATCTGTAGCTCAGTCGGATCGAACGAATTTTTTCTTTGTGTTATTCGATCTTTGTATCAATAACAACTTGTCTTTAATGAAACTATATACTATTTAAAAAAAATAATGAAGAAAGAAACTGAATGGATATTATTCGATAGACGGCCTCCGTGGTCGAGTGGCTTGCACAATGGATTTCATAATGTTGCTATTTCTGAGGTCCTAGGTTCGATTCCCGGCCGAGTCAATGTAGAAAAGTTTTCTATGTTGCCTCGGGTCTGGGTGTTTGTAGTCGCTGTTTCCGATTTCCATAACACAAGTGCTCTGGTTACTTACTTTGGAATCAGAGCAACGTATATGATGTTGCCTATTTACAATAAGTTAAACCTAAACTTAAGGTTAAATCTATTGGGATGAATGTTATCGTTTTTATTCATACACTGTATTTATATCCCCTTATAAGCGAGAATATATATTTATTGGTTTCATGGCGTAATTTTTTGTACTTTCAAACCGTGTCTTTTCAATTCCACTATTTGGAGTCAGGACAGTATTTGGTTTGGTTGAGAATACAAAGAGGGGCTCTTTAGTCCCAAAACCAGTTATAATTAAATAGAAGAAAAAAAACTTACCGTTTTCCTTAGAAGAGTTCCTCAGCAGCGGCAAAATATGATCTACGTATTCAATTAGGTCAGGAAGGTTCTTCTCCCAAGACTTCTTCATTCGGCGGAGTATTACCTCGTTTTCTTGTCGTGACATGTAAGCATGGAGTTCTGTGGAAAAATAGCAATTAAGAAAAACAGTAAATGAAACCCTGGCTCGAGATCACCATAGGCTTAGAAATCTTCTACGTAATTTTTAAATGGTGCCAAAGATTTGTTTTTTCTTAGTAATAAAATTATGCGGGTTGGGGACATCACACATTTTTCGAGGGTTGTGAATCTTCCTCGTCTTCGAAAAGCTTAAGTTACTTCGCACACGAATCCCGAGAAATTCATAGGGTCGAGCCCGGATTCAAGCCCACGACCTCTGCTGGAAACACGGTAGGCTACCACGGATTTTTTTCACTATCATTATCATTCTTCACTATCTTCTTTCACGATAACAAAATTACAATTTTAGGTACTATTTAAACAGAGGTAACTCTCGATCAATTTCAATTAAAATCTCGCCTAATTTCATCCAAAGAATTCTACTTTTAACTTCATTAACAAATTCAAAATCCCATATCAAATTTGATTCCAAGTATACAATGCTATTTGACTTCAAGTACCACAAAGTGACTGCATTAAAGTGATGCATGCTGTGCTTAACAGTCCTGAAAGTCCGTTATGCTGCAGCACGATTACTTAAGAACACTTATATGGGTAAAGTTATCACATAAGTTGTCAGTTCCAATTGTAAGTTTGCTCGTATGCTGCAAGTTTGCAAAAGCAGACTGTTTTCATAATTTGCTACAAGTATGTGGTTTATCTGAAAAATTTTGTCCTGCTCACGAAATGTAATCTGTACCTCGACGATAAAAAAGATCCAAAAAACGAAACTCATTTTTTGTAATAATTTTGGCGGGAATTATATATCATTCTTTCATTTCCACTGAATTAATTCTTCTAACATCTGTTATGTTCTTTTTAAAGTATAAGTACAAAATATATTTTGCAAAGTCAAAGATTATTTATTCCATAGGTAAAATAAATTTACACTTGAAAACGTCACATTTAAGCTACTGCTCGTTCACTACGCTGACCTCCCTGAGAAGAACGAGAAAGAAACTCTAGGGATTGCTCTTGTCAAATAAACTTAAATGCCATGGAATACACTTTGAATCAAATTTGTGTGGACTCTGCAGCCGTGTCGTCTTTCCATACACATTTATTTAACACGTAGTCTTCAATTTTGTAATATGATTTTTCGATCAAAATATTTTTAATGTATTTGTTAAACTTAGGAAATGATAAACTTAATATATGCTCCGGAATCTTATTGTAAAAACGTACACAGTTCCCCATAAAAGAGTTGTTTACCTTGGTTAAACGAAATCGTGGTACCATGAGTTTCGACTTAGCTCTAAGGTTAATATTATGGATATCTTCTTTCTTATTGAAATTATGTATATTTTTACGGGCATATAAAATATTTGAGTAAATGTTCTGTGATGCCACAGTCATGATACCAATACTTAAACTTTTCTCTGAGAGAAACCCGAGAGCCTAGACGGTACACAAAACGGATTGCTCGTTTTTGCAATACAAATATGGTTTGAA